CGGGCTTTAAACTAAAGTGATGAGGGAAGAAGAACAGTATCCAGAAACACTAAAAAAATAAGCTCAAAGGCAGTAAACCTTTCAGTGAGAAAGGAAGGGGTGCTCAGGAATTCACCAGGAGATGTAGAAGGCAAACCTAAGAATTGTAAGATGGGGGATTTCAACAGAAAAGCAAATTCTGCAGCAAGTGAAAGAGCCAACAGATTCTTAAAATGTTTTGCAAACAACTTCATCCTCTAAAAGGGGGAGGGAGGAACTAGGGTATCAGCCATACTGGACTTCATACTTAGTAAGGAGGAAAAAATGGTTGAGGACCTGGCAGCTATAGGGATCTTGGGAGACAATAACCATATCTTCTAAAATTAGTTATACCACTGGTCTGAAGATAGTCAGGTTAGTGTTCAAGGCTTCAATAAGTTAATGGGAAAAGCAGGAAGGATTCTGAAGGGAAAAGAGTTTAGGAGGGCTGGTAAATTCTGAAAAATGGGTTAGCTCAGACACAAACAATACTAAAGAGAAGAGAGGAAAGGTGGATACCTAATGGAAAAAGGTATAATGCCAAAGTTCTGTGAAATGACTGTTCCACTCCCTGTTGTGCTGGTCAGTTCTGGTTGCCACAGTACAAAAGGATGCTGAGGAACTCAAAAGAGTGCAAAGAAGATTTTTTTTAAAAAAAGATGATGAGGTGCTTGGAGACTAAATCCTATGAAGAATGGTTAAAAGATGTGGTTATGTTAAACTTAAAGAAGAGAAGGCTAAGTGGATACATGATAGCAGTCTTCCAATACTTGGCTGTCATAGGAAGGAGGATGCAGGTTTATTCTCCATAGGGCAGAACAAGAACCAATAGATGGAAGCATTATAGAGGGAGATCCAAACTTGAAATAAGGAAGAACTTCCTGACTATGAGAGCTTTTAAGGAGTTGAACAGCCTGCCACCTGGAATCATGGGTGCTCCATCACTGGGGTTTTTCAAGTGGATGGTATGAGGATTGTTGCCCTGGATGAGAAGTTCAACTAAAAGTCCAAAGCCTGATGATTCTATGGAATAAGTTGCAAAATTGCTCCACCATAGGAATAATGAAGATTAAGAATATATACAGAGAAATAAGATTAGGTTGAGTTCTGTGATGGCAATGTTCAGATACTTTGCAGTTTATTGTGTTATGACAGGAACTGAACCTACATAGAAAACCCTTATGTAAGATATTCTTATTCTCCCCATCCACAGTGATGTATACATAGTTACAGGTCATTAAGTTCCCTATCAGGAATGTGCAATTTTAAGCCCCAAGACTGAGAGGCCAATCTAGCCAGAATTAGTCAAAAATTGGTGTTATGGTTTCCAGCAATTCTGAGGTAGCAAACAGAAAGATGTATACACATACATGCACACACATACAATGCAGTCTTAAATAATTTACAGAACAAAGGAAAAACAATAATCCTACACCCCCCCCAGCCCTAAACCCAAAGAAGAAATTTTAAAAAAACTGATTCAGTGACTATAAATTATCAATCTGCCATTTCAATTCTTGGACACCCACAAAACCTTAGTGCTACCCTAGCCATAAAAAGACTGTTTATCGATACAATCTACTTAATTCTACATAGACTGATTTTTTTCCAAGATCTAACATGTCTGAGTAACAGAGACAATAATGATTTTTTTTTTTTTAAGAAGGAACAATTTGGCTATAAAGACCAGCACCTGTTCAGTGCAGGAATCCAAATTAAAAGATCTCAGATAGATGGCTATCTAGCCTCTCCCTGAACATCTCCTGCAAAAAGAACCTCACTACCTCCCTAAATAATTGGTTCCACTATTGATTGTCTTAAATTAAGAATTTTCTTCTACCATTCGGTTGAAATTTGCATTCTGATAACTTATATCCATTGTTCTGCACTCTGGAATTAATTGAAAACAAACATTCCACTACTTTGATCTATCTTCAAAGGTTTCCAGTCCCTGATCATCTTCACTGCTGTCTCTGAACCTGCTCCAATTTCTCCGAATCCTTATTAAAGAGTGATGCCAAGAACTAAACACATTTCTGGAGTTGGGTATGACCAAAGCTGAGGTTATGCAAGTCGTTTGGAGGGATACTTTGCCTGGGACAAGCCTGTTTATGCCACTTCTCAAACAGCTGAGGTGGTCATATCCTCTTGAAATGTGGGCATGGTTGCCTTAATGGCCTTATTTCATCTGCAGGCACAGAAAACAATTTTGCCAAAATGATGTGGCAGGCTCTTTGCCACCAATCCCATTGAGTGTCTTCTAGGAAAGTACAGAAATGTGCAGATGACCTGAAAAGGCCTTGAAATATCTATGCCAAACCTTGAGGAGTGGGTGATTACCTCAAAGAGTTGTGGCTTGCTCATGCTTCACTGTAACTGAAGTGCCAAATAATTTGCACAGACTTATTAAACATATTTTTTCTTCTGTGTAAAAAAAACAAATTCAAAGTATACTGTGTGATAGAGAACCAACTGCTTGTTTTTTAAAAATAAATAATTTGAATAATACTCTATGCAAAATGTACATGGTTAGTGGCAAATAAATGTTAAGGGAGCCCTTGATTTAATCTAACCTTTTTTATTTCCTGACTTAAATCAACTTGATTTAAATTATTCATCCTGGATAAAAACTTTGCATTTAAACTGTGCAGTTACTCAAGGGGTCGGGTGGGGTAGGTAGCAAAGAATGTCTGCTGTGGAAGAGCCTGATGTTACCATGGAAAGCTCAGCTAGCTTCCAGAAAGCAACTATTTTCACAACAGATTAAAACACACACACACACACACACACACACACACACACACTGTTTAGGATCTTTTCATTTTTTTTCTACTTTAACATTATTACTATTTAACTTTTACTAG